TTAAATACAATAAAGCATTAATTGTTATGAAAATATGTATTGTACATAAAAAAGGATGCGTACTATTCGTTAAAGGTATGTTTATCTGTTGTAATCACTTATTTAGGTAAAGAAATGTGTTAGATATGTTATAACTTTAAGTCTCAATAACTTTTTACTCGTACGTTTCCTCCAAATATTTTTAATATATTTTGACTCTCTGTCACCTCCCCTATCTAAAAATACCACCCACTCCGAATGGTGGTAAAGAAATATATGAAAATGTATGGAAATGTTGTAACTTTAAGTCTCAATAACTTTTTACTCGTACGTTCGCGGAAATTTTTTTAATTAACATTTCGACTCCCTATCACGTCCCCTATCCAGAAATACCACCCACTCCGCCAGGGGCCACGTCCCCTATTCTAAACTTGTGCCTGTGAAAGTTTAGATGGATGTTTATTACTAATAATACTAATCAAGCCAGGACGACTGAACGGATCTGGATGAAAGGATGGGCGTCAATAAGATAGGTATATTTTCCTCTGAAGAATTTTGGATTTTTAATCGTGTACATATTAACTAAGGGTAATCGCCAAATACTTTATTATGTACAAGCGACTCTCCCTCGGGTTCATCCCTATTTACGTTTTAACGTTTAATATAGATTTCTCAGAAATGAGATATTTTCTCGCAGTAAAAAGTATCCTATATATAGACCCGAATAACCAGCTATCATCATACCAAATTTTATTAAATTTCCTCCTGTGGTTTTTCCGTAATGCGGTCATAGACAGACAGACAAAATTTCTAAAAACTATAGATTCGGTCTCTGTATCGATAATAATGTTCTATTTCAATAAGATCTCCCAAAAAATATTTAATGTACAAATCCCGCTTAGTTACAACTTTATTATCTTATATATAAAATTTCCATGTCACAATGTTTGTTACCGTACTCCTCCGAAACGGCTTTACCGATTTTTACCAAATTTTATATGCGTATTCAGTAGATCTGAGAATCGGCTACTATCTATTTTTCATACCCCTAAGTGATAAGGGTGGTCCTCCCAGACCCCACCCCAGGGACGAACCCGGGCGGAGCGAGGGTGAGTCGTTAGTATAGATATAAAAGTGTTGGAAGAAGAACTTAAAAAATTAGTTGAAATATTTGTTATTTAAGTTTGTATAAAATTAACAAACGATAATAAATAGATCCCAAAATGGCATATTTTAGTTTTAAAAATTATTATAAGTAAAGGAAAATGAAATATTACCCTCGTGAATGAAAGTTGGGCCTAATTATTGAAAAATCTGCAATTAATGGGTTAGAAGGGTCAATTGGATATTTAAAACTAGCACTTTGACATTTATCAATATTGTTTAGGCGCTATGGTTAGAAAATGTGAAATTCACTGTAATTTAAATTAAATTCAAGATAAATCTTGCAACAATTATAACATTTAAGTTCGCATATGAATGAAAACAATACGCGGGGTAAGTAAAATTTGCAGATTAGCGACATCTATTATGTATTCAAGTAAACAAAAAAGCCCGAAGAATAGCCCGATTAGCGCTCTTCAATTTCTGCGTATGGTATCATCTGCACTGGTATAGAATTATATCATCTGTCATAATATTATAAAACAAGCGACTCACCCTCGCTTCGCTCGGGTTCGTCCCAAGGTTGGTTCTCCATACAAACTTGCATCCCCATTTTCCTACCCCTTAAGGGATGATTTCCGGGATAAAAAGTATCCTATGTCCTTCCCAGTCTCAAACTATCTTCTACATCTAAATCGGTTCAGTAGATCCAGAGATTACCCCCTACAACCTCACAAACACACAAACTTTACCCTCTTTATAATATTTAAAAAAAAATATGTTGGGACATTAACACACAGCGCCATCTAGTTCCATGATAAGCTACGAGGCTTGTGTTATGGATACCAGATAGTTGATACATTACACATATATAACTTTAAATACATACATATTATAAATATACCCATGACTGGAGTACAAACATAATAAAAAATATTAGTATAGATATACAAAAAAAACAAGGGAAACACGTTTAGTTACGTTTTAACGTTTAGTAAAGATTTCTCAGAGATGAGATATTTTCCCGCAGTAAAAAGTATCCTATATGTTGACCTAGATAATCAGCTATCATCATACCAAATTTCATCAAAATCTGTCCCAAGTTTTCTCGTGATGTGGTCAGACAGATAGACAGATAAAAATTCTAAAAACTATAGATTCGGCCTGTATATCGATAATAATGACTATTTCAACAAGATTTTGTAAAAATATTTAATGTACACATTCGACTCAGTTAGAATTTTATATGTATAGATATTTTAAATTTTATTTTATATTTATATTTTAATATTATATATTGGTTATAAGCACGATGGACGGCTGGCAAAAAATCACTCAGTCCGTTCTCTATGTCTATGGAAAAAACTCGATCTATCACAAAAAAAAATATAACCATTTTTATTAAAGCCTTTTTCTACCTGCTCTCATGCTGACAATCTCATATAGCGCCATCTCGTAAGCTTTTGTGGTACTTGCATTGTCACCAATGGACCATAACCTACTAAACAAGTTACCACAGTATATTTTCAAATGTTATGATTACCGACATATATAATGATATTTTATTTTACCGTATGTTACTTAGGAATTAAATCTGATTTCATATTTCGCGATTTAATAGCTTATGGTGAGTCTGTTAACAGTACTGACTGTTGATTATGCTCTCGCTTATTGTGTGCAGTAGTGAATGAGAACATTTCTAAAAATAACAACAGAATAAACAATTTTGGTGCATAATATATGGTAGCTGAAAGAAAGATATTTTCCTTCTGAGTCATTTCAAAGTCACATAAATTTAAATAAATTATGCAGAGACGCCTTTTCACAACTCCCGACACATCTATTATGTCTATTGTTACTAAGCCATATTAAGTTATATCTTCCTAAAGAAGACGAAATCACTCTATTATAAAGCATATGCCTGTAAAATCAAAACAGTGCTTGGAATTTACATTTGGAACAAAAAGAAATTGTGATAAAAGTGTAGAGACCTACTATAATATTATGAATAACAATGAACAAAATATAATACTGTTTTCAAAATTTAATAAGAAATCTCTATTGTCTTAACACCATCTCAACAATTTTCTCACTATTAAAGAGTCAAAGGAGAGAAGAGTCAATGCTAGATGTGAGTAAGCTTTCAAATTCAATATCTAAATAACATGAACTCGAAATTTAGAATATGTTTTTCTTTCTTCAAAAGAAAATGGTGTAACGATCAAACTGTCATAGTTTAATCGTTAGACCATATTCTTAAACTGTGAAAGCACTTTCTTGTTTACTTATTTTAATGTTTGTTTGCTTATTAAAATGTATCATAGAAGAGTGTATAAACATTTTTTTTTCTATACATATAATAAAATTGTAACTTAGCCAAATCTGTACATAAAATATTATTTGGAAAATCTTATTGAAATAGACATTATTATCGATACAGAGACCGAATCTATAGCTTAAAGAATTTCTGTCTGTCTATTACCGCATCACGCAAAAATCGCTGGAGGGATTTTGATGAAATTTAGTATGATGATGGCTGGTTATCCGGGTCAACATATAGGATACTTTTTATTGCGGGAAAATATCTCATTTCTGAGAAATCTATACTAAATGTTAAAGCGAGGGTGAGTCGCTAGTCTTATATAAAAATATTACACAGTACTTTGCTCTAGTGAACAATTTGCTTCTAATAGCTTTAAAGGTAAAATATGTTTCATCTCTTAAACAATTACCACCATAACAACACACAATTAATGTACATGTATGGCATGTGAATAAGGTAATAAATGTCATGTAATATACCATAATGTTTCTTGGGGATTCAACATTTGTAAAATACAAATAGATTACATACATTTAAAAAATGTAGCATAATATGATACCCAGTTTACACATCTCCAGACTTGAATTCAGATTTGTATTAAAACTACAAATATACTATTAAACATTAACCATAATTTATTCATTATTTATACTTTTAAAATAAATTTTTATAATAATTTATGATTAAAGATACAATCTAAAAAAATAACTTTAGTCTTACCTCTGTTGTGGGTGATGTATCAGGAGGGTGATTTTGAGCCTGGGATATACTCCATGTTGTCAAAAATACAAGTACAGCCAAGATAATAGTTCTTAATCGAAGCATTTCTATCTAAAAAGGATACTTTGTTTTAAAAGCTAGAATAAATATTGACAACTTGTATATTATGTTGCTTTATGTATTAAATGAAAATAAGCACTTTTGAATAATAGATGTGACTAACTTGTAATACCTTTTAATATAACGGTTTCTTGATAAAGATGATTAAAAAGGAAAGTTTATATAGCTTTTCATCTAACAAATTCTAATGATACATGTTAAACGTCACCGGGCAAGTGAATGGTCAAACTGCCAACCCATCGAAGGACAAAAATATAACTCACGTTTACTACCAGGAGTTAAATTACAAGTGTATAATTCTCTGAGATATCAATACATATGCCTTCTATTGTTACTGGAACTAATAGTAAATATTATATTCTTCACATGTAAATTACATTTTCAACAATTAGTCAAGTAGTAAAAAATGACATTAAACTTGAATTGAACCGTAAGCTGCTGTCATTTAAGGTTGTCAAATTGACAGTTCTCTTCAGTCTTTGGACAGATGTTATAATGTGAATAAAAAGTAAAAACTAGGCCGACAGGCGAATAAAGTTGCTTGAAGTAGTTAGATATAATAATTATAGTTAGCTATTACAAGTATTTACTATATAGAACTAAGACAATATCAAAATAATACAATAACAATTATCAATTATGTATATTTAATCTCTCGAAAGAAATACATTTTTATCTGTGCCGTTATTCGTTTTTTTGCGAAGTTTAGCTTTTGTTGATTCTCTCTAAGTTAAAACTAACCTAAAAAGTTAAAATGCCTCTAGATTATAGAAGATTTAATGGACCAGAAGATAGTATCCCTTATAAACATTTCACTAAAGAGTTTTTTAATAGTTATGAAAACTTATTTAAAGACTTAATTGATGAAAATGGTTTACGAAAAGATGGGCGCGCATTGGATGAGGCACGAACGATGTGTATGTTTTGTATGTGTTGTTTTACAAAAAACTGTTTTTTTTTTCTATTAAAAGTGTAAATATTTTAATATTTATCTTCTATTACAGTTGCCCGAACAGACATGATATCACAAGCAAAAGGATCGTCGTATTTAGAATTAAAAAAAACTAAAGTTGTATGTTCGGTTTTTGACCCCAGAGAGATTATGCATCAAAATGAATTTAGGTAAATATTTAGAAGGAACAAAATTGTATTCATGTCATTGGTTTTGAAATTAAGCTACTAATTTTTCACTTAATTTTGCAGTACACTTGGTCAATTATTTTGCGAAGTTAAATTCGCGCCATTTTCATGTCCAAGACAGCGCCGGCCTCATGCCCCAGACTCGGAAGAGAAAGCATTGTCAGTTGCTCTCAGAAAAGCTCTAGAACCAACAGTGTGCAGACACTTATTTCCTAATTATCAAGTAAACATTTACCTCTTAGAATTGTTTTTATTTGTGCACTAGAAATTACTAATTGTTTTTATTGTTTCAGATAGACATATTTGTTTATATCTTAGAACATGATGGATCGTGTTTGGCAGCTGCAATAAATGCAGCTGGTTTAGCCTTGGCAGATGCTGCAGTTCCAATGTATGATATCATTACGGCATGTTCTCTAGCTATAATTGAGGACAAAGTATTTGTTGATCCCACTGAAGCTGAAGAACACTTAGCTACAATGGATCCAACAACAGAAGGAAAAAACAATGGGGTTATAACCATTGCTATGCTGCCAGAATTAAAACAAATTTCAGATTACCGTCAAATAGGTTCTATGGATGTAAACTGTGTAATGAAATCAATAGAAATACTACAAAAAGAATGTTTAAAACTTCTCCCTAACATACAACAAATATTGGTATTAAATGTTGTAAAATGTTTTGAACAACAAAAACAATTAGATAAGGAAGCTAGAGAAAGAGAAGTGGCACTAAATGCCAAAATGGAGGAATGGAAAGCTTTATTAAATGGTGGATGAAATTGGATTTTACTTTGTTTTTATTTCCTGATATTAAATTATCAATATAACAAAAATATCTCTGCAATTGCTAAAAATATTAGTTATTGTACAAAATAATTAATATCTACATATATTTCAATGATAGTTAAAACATTAAATCCAGATAAATTTTATTTATAACATGAATTAAAATAAAGAGATCTAATAATTACTCTTTCAAAATATACTTTTTTAACTTATAAAAAATAGTTGTCTATTTTCTGAAATAAATGAAAATACCTTTTTAGATTTATAGTAGTATATTTACTTTAAAAAATCCTATTACAAAAAGCATGTCTTACACTAGAATTAATCTTCTGGCTTTTCTGGGGGTGGTCCACAGGGTTGTAACATTCTTTCCATCAAATTGAATTTAACTCTAGCTTTAGATTCGTTTTCTACAATTGCAAAGTAACTCAGCAGATCGGGGTGGCCCATATAACTGCAACATGAATCTCTGTGCTGATTCGTCAACCACTCATATTTTGTAGTGTCGGCGTGACCAGTTCCAATGTATTTGCTTTGCAAATGTTCTAACTGACTGTGGATATTGTATCTTTCGCCCATTTTCTGAAAAATTACTTCATATGTTATTACTTACAGATTTTGCTGTAATCTTAAAATATAAAAAGACTTAAACTTAATTATTAATATTGTTGTTTAGTTATATTTATTACTCACTTAGAGACAATATTTTATTTTCAATTATTTACAAAAGAGCACAACTGACAACAAACACTGACAGTTTTCTAGTTTCCTTCATGGATGACAAATAAAAGTTTCCTTTTAGAGTTGACATTTGACATGAATTTGTCACATATTGCCAAAATCCAAAGAGAAAAAATAATAGATAAAGAATTAAAAAAAAACCATTCATTACTTTACGGCCGTAGGTTATGATTATTATAAATTACAACAATACATTTGTACACTTAGATTATATGCATTATGTAAATAATCTAAATTAATACCTATGTCTGTATATGTATACGTTAGGTACTTGCAATTTCATTCATATTAGATCCAGTGGAAATCCGATGAATGACTCCTATTGATTTGATCTTTGATTCCAATCGTTATTCTGAGTTTAACTCCAACCATTTATAAATAATAAACTCTGCAAATGCAACATTATTATAATTTTAAGGATTTATTGAGATATAACTTCTAATGCGATTGAAAAGTGATGACAAAAGTAAATAAGAATATTATGTAGCCAAACTTATTTAGAATATTATTTTTCACAGTAAATCAATCTAAAAATACTTTTCTGATACATTAACCTTCAAAAAGCATAATACATATACTTAATTTGTATAGAATACTTGTATACTGTTTAGTCATACTTGCGATTTTTTTTTATTTAACTGGCTACTATGGCAACCTCTTATTTATAGTTGTGATGCAGTTTTTATTGTTTATTCAATCAACTATATGTATTAAACTTTTTTGTAATAAAATATACAATAATAAAAGATGGAACATAAAAATAAATTAATTGCCGATAATTTGGATCATAGTGACGAAAACTTACGGAATCAAGCAAAGAAACTAGTTAGACAAAAAAACTTGACCAATAAAAGACCTACTCATTTATTTATGCATGAAAAGAGTCTTACTGATATTGTAAGAATGATATATTTTAGATGTATTAATCTATTTTGGAATTAGTAATATATTTCTTTATTAACAAATTTTAAAATTTTATTTTATAGCCACAACCAAAACAACCGAATCATGTGAATTACGCATATTATCATAATAATTTTATAAAAAAAATAGAAAATTTAAACATGTTATATAATTTGACCCATTTACATTTACAATGGAATAAAATTACTAAAATTGAAGGCTTGGACAGTTTAACGAAATTAAAGAAATTATATTTGAGTAAAAATCGTATTAGTGTTGTGGAAAATTTGGAAGGATTGAGATATTTAGAAGAGCTTCATATTGAAAAACAAAATATTGACAATTCCGATGCATTGTGCTTTGATCCAAAGACTATGATAGCAATTGGGGTACCATGAAATTTTTTATACATTTTTTTATTTAAATATAATTTAAAAATAATATGCTATATATATATTCATATTGTAGGCATCTTTAAGAATACTTAATGTCTCAGAGAATAAGTTAACTGAGATGAGTTGGGCCAAGCCCCTTCGCCGTTTAGAAGTTCTTATTGCTAAAAAGAATAAATTGGACAATATTGAGGTAAATATTCCTTATGCAGTTACTAAAAAATGAGCAAATTTCCATTATATGCGTATTGCAACTTTTTATATTTTCAGGAAATTTCAAATGATCTGTGCTTATTAGTATGTCTCGTGGACGTTAACTTTACCGGGAACCCGATGACAAAAAAACATCGCTATAAAGAAATAATAATTGCAAGATGTGCCCAATTAAGTAATATTGTTATTTAAATTAATAAAATTGAATATTAGTGTAGTTACATTTATAGAATTTGTTTTCGTTTCTTAGTTAGATATTTTATTAAGTTAAACATGATATAAAATCCTATTAATATAAATAATACCTAAATATATACAAATGGTACTTGTATTTATTTATTATATTTGCACAGGAATTTTAGATACGGTGGCTATTCATAATACTTCAAGAACATTTTTGCAAAACTTCGATAAAGTTGTTAGACTTCGACAACTGCATGTAAAAAATAAAATTAATATGACACGACAAGGAGTTGAAGACTTCTTTGAGTTAAACATGTTACCTGGGCCACGGGCATTAAGTGCTATGGCTATTTCAGAATTTTCAAATCAAAAACCAAAAAGTAAGTTATTTAATAAATTACCGTTTTACATACATACGTTTTTTTTATATTCTTTTACGTTTTAACGTTTAGTTTAGATTTCTCAGAGACGAGATATTTTCCCGCAGTAAAAAGTATCCTAAATGTTGACCCCGATAAAGCTATCATCATACCAAATTTAATCAAAATTTGTCTAGTGATTTTCTCGTGATGCGTTCCCAGACAGATAGACAGACAGACATAGAAAATTTTAAAAAACTACAGAATCAGCGTTTATATCGATAATAATGACTATTTCAATAAAATTTTCAAAATATAAAGTTACAAAAGTTTATTTAAAGATTTATGAAATTTTAATCTGTGCTAAAATCGATATATAAAATATTTATAAGTAACATTAAAAGTGAAATTCGAAAAAGAGATAACCCAATACCTATCGTAGATTATGGAACAAAAGCTACTTTTAATAGACACAGCATCTACTAACAACCATATTAGAACCACAATAAAAATCTATAGTACATAGAATTGAAATGAGTCAAATCATTTTTATACATTTTTTTACTTCAAAATAATTTACATTTACAATGTTGTCATTAGTTTCAGCAATAGATTCAACTTACACGTTCATGCCTCGAGCGTTCTGGCGCAATAGGACGGCACCGTCACCTCGAGAGAGTGTGAATCCTCCAACTCAACTATTTCCGTCAATGAAAAAGAGTGATGTCAAAAACTATGTATCACCTGTGAAAGGAATACTAAAGAAACCTATGCCTATGAAATATATTTAAGCTTTTTAATCTTTCGCATATTTATTAAATAAAATTTCATGTCAAGGAAGGTAATTTTATTTAATCTTAGAATATATCAGAGTACAAGACCAACCCTGTTTTTGCAATTGCAGAGCATAATGCCGTACTTTAGTGTACAATGCCGAAGCCTATTATTGTTTATTGTTGAACTTATTTGTAAAGCTTTAGACTTTTTATAAAAAAGTTAATTTATACTGTGTATATGTAAGTGTGTGTATCTATGAAGCTTTAAGGAGACGTTGATCATTAAACATTATTTACATTATCGTTAGTAATATTTGTTTTTATTATTATATTTATTAGTTAATTATATTTTTTCTTTCAACACTAAACCTAGTGCCCTCTGCTGGTGCACTTGAAAACTAATTCACGTTCCAGTTAAGCAATAGCACACTTCAGGATTATACGCCAAAGTGCGGCATTATTCTCTATAATTGGAAAACTGGATGTGTCATTCTTGAGTTTTGACATTTGTGACATTTTGTGATATGTCAAATGATAAATGAAATGTTCAAAATAATCAAGTGAAATGAACCTGTTCAATTAATTTTAAAATTAAAGGTTATATTAATGTTTACGACTAAATAAATAATATAGATTTCCTTTTTGCCATTAATAGGTTGTAAAAGAATCAATTATTTTGGAAGATCATTAAATAATGTCTCACCAAAATATTGAAGATGCCTTTAAAGTTCTCAATGAAGAATCATCAGGTATTATAGTAGCAAGTTTCTATTTTAACGTAAAGTTTAATAAATAACTATTGTTAAAGTGAAATAATATATCAATCTTTAGATTTATATCTGGGCAGTGACATAGCAGAAGTAGATAAATTGGAGCCATTAGAATTTCAAAGAGAATATGTATCAAAAAACATACCTGTTATTATTAGAGGTGGCTGTAAAAATTGGCCAGCAACTTGCAAGTGGAATACAGAATTCTTCAGGTAATTAGGAATAAAGGTATTTAAAATATGTTATATAAAACTAATTTATAAATTATTAAAATTTACATTGAAATACACTTCTGCATAATGTTTTATAATGTTTATGTTATAGTTTTGTAAATGTTTTAAATGTCATTCACTTTAAAAATATAATTATAATAATAATAAATAGTATTTATTGCCATGAAAACAGTAACAAATGTTAGCAGAATCAGTAAGGCTTAAAGTAACTTATGGCAAAGGGTAATAACTCAGCTAATGCTGCTAAGACCTAAATCTCAAGCAGCGCTGATTTTCAGTTACACCCAGCTCCCTAGGGTGTTGAACGGGAGCAATGCAAGAGGACTATTCCTCCAGTTAACCTCTACAAGATTAAAAAAAAAAAAGTAATGAAAACAAAAATAAAATTTAAAACTTAAAAGTATTTGTGCGCGCGTGTGTGTGTGTGTTTATGTGGTTTGTGTGCGTGTGTGTACGTGTGTGTGCGCGCGTGCGTGTGTGCGTGTGTGTGTGTGTGTGAGTGTGCGTGTGAACAAATGTATGTGTATATTAATGTATGTACGTGCGTGCTTGTATGTGCCAGTAAATAAGAGTACAATAGGATGAATGTATAATGGCTTATTAATGCAAGTATAATGATTATTATTAGAAACTAGCATTGCCCGCGGCTCCGCCCGCGTTCAGATGACCAAAAACTAAATTCTTAGGTGTTACATATTAGTATACTCTTACATTGCAGTTTTTGTATTTTTCCTCAGAAATAAGATATTTTCCCGCGGTAAAAAGTATCCTAGGATCGCGCGCTACATCGCCCGGTTTATATAGCTTGAGCAGGCGGTCGAGCGATGCGGGGCAGAGGGGATGGACTCGCCGTAGGCATCTCAATGCTCGCCAAGCATTAAAAATGTTTCGCTACTAATTACTTCTAACAACGATATCTCAAAAACTATTCATCTGATTGATTTAGTGTAAAGAGCAATTTTAATCTGCATTAAATGACTAAGCTAACTAAAATATTCATTTGGATAAGGATTAATACCGAACTAAAGAAAATAACTTTGAAAATAACGTAATGTTTTTAATTAAAAATGTTAACATAAAAGTGGTTATTGTAAGTCAACCGTAAGAGATAGAGATATGCTATCGCGGACTTTTTTGTAGCATTTTTATAGATTTTGAATTCTCTAGTACATTACTTAACTGTATCTTTGCTAGTTTACGCGGCGTTCGCGTGGAAAGTTCCCATTTGGCGAGATTTTTTGCGACCTCTTCAACATTTGTCGCCGTATTTCAGCTAATTTACATAAAAGCATAATAAATTATATACCTAAACCTTCCTCAAGAATTACTCTTTCTATTGTTGAAAACCGTATAAAAATCCGTTCAGTAGTTTTCGAGTTTATCGCGTACAGACAGACAGGAGGACAGAAAGACGCGGCCGGGGGACTTATTTTTATAATAAGTATAGATAATGTTTTAGGTTCATTTCTACTGTATAGGCATAATTCAAGTTTTCTGCAGCAAGTTGCCTTTTTAATAAGGCCTTTTTGTATAGTTTCCTAAAGCTATATAAAACAACAGGTTTGTTTTTCATATTTTTAGAGAAAAATTTTCCAGAAAAAAAATCACAGTAACATTAACTCCAAATGGTTTGGCTGATGGAATCACTCGGAATGAGGATGGAAGAGAGTACTTTGTAATGCCAGAGGAAGTTGAAATGTCTATGGATGAATTTTTAGATATATTAGAAAATAAAAGGTGTGTATAACATCTAATTCTGTTACATAATATTTTTGTTTCTATAAAGTTGTTATTGAGTATATTTATGTAAAACCTTATTATTATTTTCACACTTCAAATATCTGATAGTCCTTTCTTATTATTTTAAGTGAAAATCTTATACCCTACATTCAACGGCAGAATTCCAACCTTACAGAAGATTTTAGTGAGCTTATGAAGGATGTTGAAGATCATGTAAGTTTTGCTAGTGAAGCCTTTAATAAAAAACCTGATGCAATCAACTTTTGGATGGGCGATGAGAGGGCTGTAACTTCAAGTATGTATGTATTATTATGAAGTTCTGAAGATATATGGAATAGAATAGTTATTTTTTGTTCTGGTAATTTATCAGACTCTTTAAATATATTTAAATCTTGATGAAATATGTTTGAATACAATAGTTTTATCTAAAATAATTTTTGAAGTTTTGTTATTTATTTATTTTAGTTATCACACAATCTGTACATATAATAAAATAGTAATTAAGTACAATCTGAAAATGAAATATTTTTTAAACATAATGACTTTTACAAATTGTGTACAGAATATAGACCCCTAAACCACAATTGTCAAAATTTTTGTTTGCCTGTTTGCTTTACACACAAAAAGTTCTGAGTGGATTTTAACTAAATTTTGTGTAGGGATAACTTATTACATTGATCAACTGGGAAGTTTCTCATTCCCATCAGAAAACAAAATAACTGGTTCGGCTGAGTTACTTTTCATACAAAAAATTAAATTATTAAATATTAAAATATTTCCCCTTTGTAGCATATGAAGTGATAATATGCGCATCTATGTAATATTATTAATATATAATAAATTATTTTTAGTGCATAAGGACCCATATGAAAATATTTACTGTGTGATTGATGGGTACAAGGATTTTATACTTATCCCACCTACTGATTTGCCGCATGTACCATACAAAAGATATCCTCAAGCTGAGTTTAAGAAGACAGATCAGAAATGGACAATAGTGCCCGTTAATAATGAATCTAATTGCGATGGATTACCTTGGATTTGTATAGGTCAGTATAGAAATTTTTGAAAATGTTCTATTATCTGAAAAATTCTCACTACTATTTAAAAAAAATGTTTATGGTTTACAATTTGTTTATAGGATAATAGTGTGTAAGGTAATAAAAAAGCAATATATAAAATACATTATAACTCACATAACTTAGTAACTTTTATTACAGATCCTCTTAAACCAGATTTGTCAAAATTCCCAGAATATGAGAAAGCTCATAAATTTAAGCTGAGGCTTCACAAAGGGGACTGTCTTTATCTTCCGAGCCTCTGGTTTCATCATGTTAGACAGAGCCATGCCTGTATAGCCGTCAACTATTGGTATGATATGGAATTTGACATTAAATATTGCTATTTCAAAATGTTAGAAGCTTTATGCCAAAAGTATTGATTAGGATATAGAAGATTTTAATATACATATTATGCTTTTCTAAAATGGAAGTCAAACTTTTAATGTTTTATATACATATGAAATACATATATTAAATTGTTATTTCTCTTTAAGTGTGTTTTTGTTTGCTCTCTAATAGTTTTAAAGTAAAATGAAACAATGTAAATTAAAATGATTTATGTAATTGAATATAAGCTTGATCAATAAATACTTAACAAAATTGATACAAATAAAATAAAAATATAGGTCCCGATAGTTGTGGCTAGATTTTTTGAATTTTGCGTAAGCTTCACGTTCTGTAATAAAAATATAAAAAAAAAATGGGGTCTGCCACCTTGAGGGAAGCCAGTTGCCGAGCGGGTTGACGTCGGCACCGTGGGCACTCCTAGTGCTCATCACGGAGCCCGGCGCGACGCTGCAGCACGCAGCCAGTCCCGCCGGAGCTCCCCCTCAACCAACGACTACTCAGTTCGGGCTGAGTAGTCGTTGCCCTCAACAGATCACCACCACCATCTGGTGGTGATCAAACAACAAAAACCAACAACAACCAAACTGCAAAAATAAGACGAACATGTTTGAATGAGTCTCATTAGCTTACAATGATATTAGTAGAAATGTGCCGAATACGAATATCCGGGCCAAAACGTCAAGGTTAAAAAAAGGTTGAATTTGGTGAATATGTTACCTACAGTCTATTTTTTAGTCTAAAATTCTTTCGACTAAAGAGGTTGTTCAACAGTAATTTTGATTGCAGGCCTTGGTCAATAACAGTTTTGACTGTCATATCGGCAAAACTCTTAAAAACTTAAGTAGGTAAGTAGATTGAAGGTTACTCGTAATAGAACTTTTTAATAAACGATTTGAACTTAAAAAAAAAAATCCTGAAAAAAAAATTACTTTTCACCCAATTAACATAACAAAAATTACTTTAGCCAAATATAGTAACAAATATATGTATATCCCATTAATCGCATCCCATTACATAATACATATTATAAATGCAAACGTTTTGATGGATGGACGTTTGTTAATCACGCCAGAACGGCTGAAAGGATCTAGATGAAATTTAGCACAGAGATAGATTATAGTCTGGAATCGCCCATAGTTACTTTTTATTCCGAAAAAATGTATGGTCTCCGCGGGATAGATTTGTTTTTGTTTTTCAGAGTAAGGGATCGACTATCTATTCCATATTAACCGTTAAAACGTACGTACGACCAACTCGAGCGAAGCGAGGGTGAATCGCTAGTACATCATAAATGTCAAAATATAGTTGTTACACAAGGTAGCATTCATTCCATTTACAATTTGCAAATACTATGTAGGTACGGTTCTCAGTTTTTTTTATTAGATATATTAATACTAAAATAAATAGTAAAAGTGTTGTATTTAAATATTCAGTAATTATTTAACAAATGACCCTTAACAATAAACAAAGGCCAACACACTGAAAAAGACTGAATATATAAAAAAAGTTAAAATGTTACCGAAAATGTCTTTTGAACAAATATCACAGTTAGACCAAAGTTTGGCGTCTCACAAGTAGTATTAATTGTATTTTTATTTTCTCTCATAAAATGTTATCTTATCGGGCACACAGTCTACTTTCAGAATATGCAAAGAAGAGATCGAACCATATGACATATTTTTTGTTATTCTGGGGCGAAAATGAGGCCTTACCTATACCCTTCCTTTGCAAAATTTGAAATATGCCAAAATAAAATATAAGGTCAGCAAAAAAAACATTTGATATATTTTATTTATTATAGCCAATGCCCCGGAGCAATCAAGAAGGGGAACCTTCTTGATTGCTCTGGGGTCACTTGTTTATCCAGTCTTGTTACTTACCATAATATCCGGGTATATGTTAGAAGACGGTATGTTGGCGAGCATTATACATAGACCCTGCGGAGAGCACATGCCCACCGAGTTCATAGAAACACAGACATCTCCGGGATGCCAAGCGCGTATTTGTATCAATATGCATTTGATATTGTTACAGACATTGATACTTATGTTTGCTGGAAGTAAAATAAATATTATGGAATGTGGAGGTCACAAGTATAATATGTAGTTTTTTATAGGGGACCAGGAAAAAAATATCATAAACGCAGTATAATCCATATTTAATCTGTCTAGTTGGATAAAAAAATTACACAATACTTACGGCCAATATAATCTTCATCGGGCCAACCATCGGGTAGTTGAGATGAAGCAACAAATGCCCGAGCAGCGAGCTCTACCCCCACACATTCGTCTTCACTCTTGCGAGCTCTCTTTAAATGGCAACACACGCCACATCTTTTAAGTGTATATAGTGTACCACCCTGTTCAAAATACTTATTGACTGTTTGTTGCTAGTGCTAATAATTTAATTAATTTAATAAAAATATTGTATTGGCAATAAGTAGGTTTATATTTATTTACGTTTTCTTTGATGGAGATACCATAAATGAAATTTTATTTAATTTTGTTACACCCTAATTGGGATACCTATCTTAAATAAGAGGATTGTGAAGTGTCGATAGGCGGCGTGAGTAGGTTTTTTGAAAAATGCTATCTGTTTCATACCGCTTGCTTTGCCAACCCGTATGGTGCGATAGAGAGAGTTGCAAATCTTAGGTGCAATTACCTACATTTCCTGTTTGAAATATTGTTTCTGGCGATAATGTTTTCACCCCCTCTAATCATTTACGAAATGAGACAATTTTGGTCTCATTAGATTCAATACACCTTAATCTAGGTCTATACGGTTTTTCTATTTTAGTAGTTCAGTTTAGTTTAAATAAAAAAAAATAAAAAAGCTCGAGGAAGTTTTTAAGTCAAAAATACAGATATCTATTAACTTCTATCATACGCAATATTTCTTTAAAATTACAACGTACGGACCTAGCTTTTCGTTATATCTACAATATTTCCAAAAATTATGAAAATTAGATTATGGGGACAAACATAAGCAGTAGATATCAATTCAACATCTAATCTTGATGGTTAGTAGTAATTAATGTGCTCTAGATATTCCTACTTTACTTCGGCATTTTTACTTTATCAGTCAAGTACATTAGCAAGATTACCACCATGCAGTTTCATTTAATGTTATTAGTATGAATTATGATAGTGATAATATCTTTCTGACCGATTTCGGTCATGGCGTCCAATCTTCCTTTAGACTAGCCTGCGCAGGAGATATAGTGCAGCGCGTGTACGTGCTGACACAAATGCACTTTCTATTCCATTCATTCTCAAATCCCGATGGGACGACCTTCTTGTTACTAATTTCTTGAAAAATAAACCCACGAACCCGGGTCAGGTCAAGTATAGACTTGACCTGACCCGGGTCTCGAATCCAGCACCTCCGGATCTGCGGCCCTAAATGCTGCCCACCCATATAGTACCTAGAATGCTTTGAAGTCCCAAATGGCCAAAAAGGGGTCCGCTGAAACCAGGTCATCTACCCTAGCAGTATATATTATAGTACTAACAGGTCCACTATCACCACAGCTACACTCCCTAAGGCCGAGCAAGGCGCACTCCGCGGCATGGCAGCTCCCGTCGGGCAGACACCGCCCGCCGACCCCGCACCGACACCGTGACGTCATATTCGTGCATGAACATTGGCGGTCTTGGGTTGTACAGTCCTTTGAAAATTGTACCGTATGCTATAGGTATCCTATATGCAAGATAGAGCGTACAGTGTAAAAAAGTGAAGCAATATTAGTAAGTAGAGTATTTTGATGCCAGTAAATAGAATACGATGTCAGGCGTCTATACTTAGTACTAATAATAATGCCCCTTGACCGATTTCGGCCACAGCGGCTAATGAATAATTATTATTGAGACCATCATACATAGCCATCTGTGCGGTAGATATTATAGTGGACAAGTAAGCACGTGAGCGCAAGTCCACTCCCAAATTTCGATAGATCGAAGATTCGACACTCGCGCTGAGAAATCAAGTGCATTACCCAGAACTGACAGTTTTACGTTCTAAGGCTTGGGCATATATGTAGGTAACTTCTTAACTCAAGGTTGCTACAACGAATTTATTTAAAGAAATACTCAATAAATGGCCCGATCCATTGGCCTGCACTCATACGTGCCACCAGACCAACGAGGCAGTCATTATAGGTATCGTACTAACAATATAAAACAAATTACTAACAATTCCGCTCGTTGTGAAATTTGCGTATTCACAATTGGCATTACAGCAGAGTCCCTGTGAAGGATGGCATCTAGCCGTCGGAGACACAGAACACCCTTCTTTGTGTAAGACACTGTGAATTATAATTTATGGTATTTTATTTTTTCTTCTTTTATTTATTTGTTATCTAGAAAATCAGGTTTTCTTGTAAGCACGTACTAATTACTATGTACTAAGATATTGGTAGTTTTTTTTACATTTGTATGACAAGGAGCAATCTTTCTTTATACTATTATATTTACATTTATAATATTAAAAATGGTTTTATAATACAGTGTAATTCTCACCCTTTCTCAAACACAAGAGCTCCCCCCGCGCGAGGAGTGCAGCACGGGTCGCGGTAACTGCAGTGCGAGGGCAGACCACAGTCGCATGCTTCTCCCTCCTCTACTATACCTTAGATGTTAAATAATACACCTTTGGTTTTTCTATCTTTGGAACGAACAGAACGTTATAAAGATAATCTATACATAAATATAATAAAATTGTAACTGAGTCGATTCTGTTCATTAAATATTTTTTTGGATAATCTTATAAATAGTAATTATTATTGATACAGAGACCGAATGTATAGTTTTTAGAATTTTTGTCCGTCTGTCTGGGAATGCATCACGAGAAAACCCATGGACAGATTTTGATAAAATTTGGTACGATGATAGCTGGTTGGTTATATGGGTCAATATTTTTGAATACTTTTTACTGCAAAAAAATATCTCATCTCTGAGAAATCTATACTAACCGTTAAAACGTACCTAGGACGAACCCGAGTGGAGCGAGGGTGAGACCCTAGTAATAAAATAAATTAGTAGGTACCTAATTAATTCTGATTCTCACAGCTATAACATAATAAATAGTGTTCTTCTGACAGACGGTAGCCATCTACGTGACAGATAGTACAGTGGGCAAGAGTGTACGCAACATAAGTGTAAGTAGGTACTATTTTTACACGAGTTCAGAGCCAGAAGCGAGGCTTCGCGCGCCACCACACAACGAGCGTCTTATGTACGAGGACGTAACATTACTAAAATTTAAAAAATCTTGGCAGATATTCTTTTGTTTTTTGATCTGGTTTGTTCTTTGACCTGGGACCCGAACCTAGAAACTCATGATTTTAGCTATATCAATGAAAGCTAACAAACCAATGAAACATACTTATAACTTAGCTATTAATATAATAAAAAAATATATAAAAAAGTTAGTTTAGTTCGCTTGGTACGCAATCAGGTTTTTTTATATATATTTTTTGAGTGATACTTTTGTGTAGGAAGCCCATTACGATGCGTTAATATTTTTACTAAATCAATTCCCTCTTTTACACTACAGAAAATAAATTATCGGCGTAAATAGTTATATGATAACATACCATTCCCGCAGTACGGCCGGTCTACATGAGCTAGACAGTAGCTCATGCTACTTAGAGTTGCTGATATAAGACGTTTGCTACACTTTGAGAACTCGAAGCGATGAGGGCAGGCGACAGAGGACTGAGAGCCCATGAGATATCCCCGGCAGTCGGGATTGGGAAAGTTATCGTCATGGTGTGCACCAAAACTATGACCTAGGAGAATTTAGTATATATAAAGGATCAGTAGATTTTTATCACTACATAATTTAAAGACCCCCGCCGTGTCTGTCTATCTGAACGCGATAAACTCAAAAACTGCCGAGCGGATTTTCATACAATTTTCACCAATATATAGAGTTATTCATGAGCTAGGTTTAGGTAAATAATTCATTAAAGGTTTTGTGTAAATTGGCTGAAATATGACGACGATTGTTCAAGATGTCGGAAAAAATCATACCGACTGCGAGCTTTATTGGGAGTGACGTGCGCCGCGTAAATTAATAAAGTTAGATGAAAACAATGTACCTACTACAGAATTATTCCTCTTATAAAGATTCCTATTAAACTGTAGCAACGCCATGTGTACGTACCTACGTACGTAGGGATGCACCCGAGCGAAGCGAGAATAATGCCCGATTTCACCAACATCCCCTAAGCTACCACCTACGTATGGAATCTCTAGCTTAAAGGTTCCCCTGAACTAGCCCCTAAATTAAATTTCGTTTTACCATCGTCAGAGCCTGTATTTCTAGTACCTATATTTAGGTGGCATTTTAACATTTAGGTGACCCCTAACTGTCGCTGAAACAGAAACTGTCCCCTAAAACAGCCCCCTAACCATGCTTAGGGGATCCTTTAAACTTAGGTGACATTGGTGAAATCGGCCATAAGTCACTAGTGTAGGGTAAATTCAAGTTTACCTATATACATATAGTTTTTTTGAAAAGGGAATCTGGAAATTCATTCATTTATGTAAATTTTTAAGGATGACTCAACAGAAACAGTAATTGTGTTTTCCGTTTTTGCATTAAATGCACACAGATATACAGACAAACATAAAAAATCAATAACTTGTTTTGCGGTCAATATTCTGAAGGCAATACGTAACAATCATTCTTTTAAAAATAATGTAATTTATGTAGGTACCTATAGATTTCGTTTTGCATAGATATTTGAGAAATCTATTGGTCGATGTTATATTATTATCGATAATCTATTGGTCGACGTGATATTATTTATTAATCAGTATAATATGTATCCATAGCTTTAGAAACTAACAGTAGAATTACGGTAATGTAAATAATACGAGGGCGATAAATAAGAAATGGAAATCGAACTCCGAACTCTCTAACGTATGATATACGGTAAGGTAAGACTTATTTACAGAGAAGATGCGTCGTAACTTTATTATGGAAAATAGATGCCACCCACGAATTTTATATACTTAAAATATTTTTTAATGTTTTGAACACGTATTTAAGTACATAGATAATTATAATGACATTATTTATGTTAATTCGTGATGTCAATGATAATTACATATTAGATTATATATTTTTGAGATTGAGATTATAGGGGGTACCTACCTATAACGCTTACTTACATTTAATATGCTAACATAAAATAAATATGTTAAAAAATTACAAAATTCGTTCGGAATTCGGATATACTTAATATGAGTGATATTTTTACAAATAGACCTTAAAAAACCAAAAAAAAATATTGTTCTTTTTTTATTTTGACTACATATACGTCAAGTGCACGTATACCTACTTGTCTTTGTTATGTATGTTCCATAGAGGTTCTAAGGTTCATTTGCCTTTTAAGACTACTCAACCGTTTGTGAAAAAACTCGATTTTGAGAGAAAAAATTGTGTCGGATAATTTGTAATTTTTTGAATTTATAATAAAAAAGTAAAAGTAATCTTAGTCACGCGCACGCTCACACGCGCATGCACATGCGCACGCACACGTACACGCACATACACGTACACTCGTCAAATATCAAAATAACAGCATAAGAATAAAAATACGTTTTTTAAAAATTTTGTGTCTGTCTGTCTGTTTGTAACGGCTAATCTCCGAAACGGCTGGGCCGATTTTGACAGGACTTTCACTGGCAGGTAGTTGATGTAATAAGGAATAACTTAGCCTACTTTTATTTCAATAAAAGAATTAAGGTTCGGCTCAAAAAAAATTAAAATATACCGCTAGTTTGTGCTAATAATAAACAAACAGCAATACCCATTTCATGCGCTAGAGTAAGAGCTGCGACGCCCTCCGGCACGCGCGCGCTTACTTCAGCGGTGGCATGTGCGATGGCAAGCGTGTTGAAGGAGCGGCCGTACGCGCGACGGTCGCAGAGCCCGCCCGCCGCACCGCCCATACCACCCCCCAGGGAGGTAAAGCTAGTGGAATGATAGCTTGGAAATAATCGAGGACCTATTATACCTACTGGTGATCATTGTATCATGACTACTACATAAAAAAATCTGTAATTAAATAAGTGCCTTAAAAATATGACATAAAGAAATAAATACATAGATAGGAGGTTATTTTTAAGATATAGGTACAGTGTTCACAATACTCACCTCAGTCCCAAAGTTCTATTTTCAAAGGCATGCCCAGAAAACGCAACTCCCAGGCACACTTCAGACAATCTCCTTAATCTCGCAAACCTCATGAGGTAGTTCCGACCGTCTACGGTCCTGTGTTTTGTTAAGTCACCAAAAACTCGATCGTTGGTCTCATCAGATGTGAGGACAAGGATATATTTTACAGAAAACCCTAAAATGTTTATTTACCACTCAATGAATTGAAAATAATTTTTAACAATGGATAAAATAATCAAATGCCTATGTAAGAATTCCTTTAAAGACCTTACCACGCAATAACTAATCTAAAATAGTGTCTTTTGTCTTTCAATTTATGCCATTTTCAACATCAAGATATTATTCACTATATTATAATGAATTGTGATATTAGTCTTTACGTGTTCTTTCGTTCACGTTTTTTTGTGTCTAGTTTACATGAAAGCTCATCGACCAATAGAATTAAACAACAAATTCGACAATACATTAGATTTTAGACTTTCAATAATAATAATAATTTGTATTTTTGTATGACCTAGCTTACCTACATTATCTGGTATGCCATCTTCATTAAAATCAGCATTCCTAAATATAATATCTGCTTGAGCGACTGCATGCATCATCCTTCTAACAACATGGTTAAGACTAGCATTCGCATCCTATAAAAAACAAACTTTTGTCATCAAGCTTAATACATACAGATTTTCCAGTGATGTTAAAAACAAGTTTTCTGCATTATTTGGACGATTTGAATTAAATAATCTTATGTGATTTAAAGGTAAATTTTGATTTTATCCTTTAATACGAATTTACTATTTTTATTTATTTTTATAAAAATTTTATCGACAGTTGATAATTTACTTATTAAACAAACTGAGTGATTCTAAAATGTGGATCACAAGGTCTCATACAAAATGGTTTGCATATGCAAAAAATTAATTAATGAATTAATTAGATAAAAACTTTAGGTAACATACAAAGTTGCCTGACAGACTATATACTATATAGCTATGGTAACAATCGGTCTATATAAAGGAATAACACTACATAAACTTGCCGTAAAGAATACTATGAAATACAATGTAATTAATATAGCAAAAGGAAAGTTAAAAAATTGTACATGAAGATAATAAAAAGGAAAGTTAAATAAACAACGAACTTTTTCGTAAAACTCCTTATCGGCTAACAACAGCAAGTCGCAGATACGAGCTCGTGCTATTCCAGGCTGTCTTTTTCTTTCTTCGATGTTATATGTGAAGTACGAGAGTTTATCAAAGCCAACACCGTACTATAACAATTATGCAAAACTAAAATGTAGAGATGAGATAATTGTGTAAATTATTAAATTCATAATTATTAAATGCAAAACTATGTTTGTAGATTTATTTCCTTCTTCATGCACCATCTAGAGAGTGATTTCACCCTTTTCCTTAAGATTTGTAATTTGTTGATGCATTTAATAAAAGTTCCAAAGTAAAATTCCTTTACACCTAACGTTATATATTTTTCAAATCTTTATATTTACATACTTTTTTTAGCCTATTGGCAGAAAAATTTATTCCATTTTATTGAATAATGTTTTTTTATAGAATATGGTAAAAATATGGTACGTCGTGAAGTGGTATGGATGGTCCCACAAGCTGTGTTTACAATTAAGAGTATATTATAAGTGTTTAATTTATGATAATATTATAGACAGACATCTTCACCTGATCACCTGAGAATATTCGCGTCTCGGTCTTTTTGGCGTGGCCAGGCGGTCGTTTTTGAGATCACCGAAAAAATCATTTGCATCATTTTTACCATATGGATCGGCGTGTAAAGTACGGTTACCTATAAATGCCACTGAATAGATTAAAGAGATTAACCGCCATAACTAAAGAAACCTTTTACTTGCTCTCATCCTTATTAACTCCTTTTAGCAATCAGAAGGAAGAAAAACAAACCAAAACATTTTTAAAACAACCTAAAGTTAACTTACTTAATAATGGACTTAAGTTTAACAATAATTCCATTAATCAATCGAGCAATCAATGATAACTGTTAATATTCAAAACAAGAAACACTAAAAAAAACAAAAATACGACTATAAGAAAATATGGAACGAACTTACTCCAAAGTAGCATAGGTACCGAAACCCTTACCGTCCTACGACTGAGCAAGAAATGACCTGCACAGTGCACTCTCTCGAGCGCTCGCTTTTGTTTGAATCGGTGGGTACCACAACTACCAACAATAAGTTCGGCTTTTACTATCTTATAACAATTGATTGATGTTCTCCTGACCGATTACGGCCACGGCGGCCAATATCATTGAGACTAGCCAACTGCGCAGGAGATATTATAGTGCACAAGTGTACGCGCAGACACAAGTGCACTCTCTATTCCTGTCACTCTCATACTCTGGTGGGACGACACGACCAGTGAGAGTTAAGGCGCAGGACCGACGGCTTTACGTGCTCTCCGAGGCACGGGGGTGAAACACCGCCAACTTCCTAACTCCGGGCTGTTACTGAGGCTTACTATACAGAAAGACTCAATAACTAAATTTGGCCCGACCTGGGACTCGAACCCAGGACCTCCGGGTGTGCAGCCATATATGCTAGCCACTACACCACCGAGGCAGTTAATATACTTATAACAATAAAGAGGTAGTCACCCAAGTGAAGGACTCCATAAAAATGATGGTCATCCCCTATATAACCCTCAGCTGAACCAGCATTAGGATCTTCTACTGGGAAACCATATGCCATGGTTATGTTTGTTAAGGAGAAGTCGTGGCCTTTATGTTCATCACTGGGATCTAGGAGTATAACCAGAGAACGGGATGTCAAAGCCGTGGATTCTGAAAATTTCTATCAAATTGAGTAATTGATAATTTGGATTACATTGTTTTTTATATTAATGAGTAGAATTAAAGTAGCTAATGTTTATTTGCAACTTCTTAAATCCTGAATATGGTTTAATATATTTTGTAGCCTGTCCAATAATTTTTCTGATCTTTAAAATGGTTAAAATTCTCGAAAATTTAGGCGGTCTTAAGAAGCTAGTAAAAGTTTTTGGTCAGCTATGCTTTAGGAATATGAGATATGTTGTTATATGGGTCACATGTCTAGAAAGAAATTTATCTGTTTGTTTATGTTGGAATTTTGGGATGTCTGAACCATTTCATTTGAACTTTCTATCTTTTATATATTAAGGTAAACTGTATATTATAAAATCTTAATATAAACAGAAACTCAAATGCTGTATATTTACCTATAGACTGCATTTTAAGACATAACAAATGCTTTTCCTGTCCAAATTTGGCATCCAAGATCTGATATCCATACGAGCTGCATATCTTATCAGTTCTCTCTGTCCTGCTTAGATCTATACTTTCAACAAAACACGGAAACAACATGAAAAGTAGCAAAATCATTATTAAATTTTGAATATCTATTATTTAACTTCTTATATAGAGAAAGATGACCAGTGATTGTCAAAATGACGTGTTACTTCTTTTTCATACCACAAAAATTAACCAGTTTTCCTAATTCACTAAAAAGTTAAATATGTTTAGATTGTATAGTACCTATAAATCCATACTTCCATACTAATATTATAAATGTGAAAGTGTGTTTGTTTGTTTGTTTGTTTGTTTGTTTGTTTGTTTGTTTGTTTGTTTGTCTTTCTTTCACGTCGAAACGGAGTGACGGATAGTCGTGATTTTTTGTGTGAAGATAGATGGAGGGCTGGAGAGTGACATAGGATACTTTTTACCGCGGGAAATAATCTCATTCCTACGGGAAAACATTTTATAATACAACCAAAAAATTATTTATGATCAGAATTAGTTGAAACTTGGTATTAATGCTCTTCAATACAATTAAATGAATACGTGTTAAGCATTTTTCGGAGTTCATCCCATAAGAGGGTAGAATAGGGGATGAAAGTTTATATGAAACCTACTTTTTTGGAGTTTTTCTGTAGTTTAAACGCGAGCGAAGCCGCGGGTTCTGCTAGTAAATTATAATCAGTGAAGGACAATGTCACATATTATACTAAATATTCTCTTGTAGATGTATGTTTGTTTATGTTTATTTTTTGATGCAATTATGTTTATGTTCATAATTAAACATACTAGCGGGCACATTTGAATAGGCATCCCGGTCAAAACATATTGTCCCTTTTATTATTGTATATAAAAAAATGATTTCGATTAAATACGCTATGAACGTAGCAATCTTGCAGTGGGATCTTAGTCCATCTGTAATACGCTTCACATGGCTGCGTTGTCAATGTTGTTACCATAATACCATTTTGCATGGGCTAATGTGTATAATTATAGAGCCTAGCGGCACTGCCACACAATCACTGTTACTGTTTAGAGCTTTAGGATCTATTGCACGTAACTTTTGATTTAATTTAAATGACTAAAATATGTTTAGCAAACGTAAAATTTGTACAGTTGATCTCAAACTTTATAATATAAACTAGCATTGCCCGCGGCTCCGCCCGCGTTCAGATGACCAAAAAACAAATTCTTGGGTTTTATATTTTAGTATACTCCTACATTGCAGTTTTTTTATTTTTTCTCATAAATGAGATATTTTCCCACGGTAAAAAGTATCCTATATGTTGACCCGTTGACCCGGATAACCAGCTATCACCATACTAAATTTCATCAAAATCCCTCCAGAGGTTTTTCTGTGATGCGATAACAGACAGAGAAACAGACAGACACACAAAAATTCTAAAAACTATAGATTCGGTCTCTGTATTGATAATAATGTTTATTTCAATAAAATTTTTCCAAAATATAAAATTTTATTATATGTATAAATAAGTATTGAATTGAATTTTTTGTTTTGTGATTTTTATTCATGCCAGTTGGACACAGTGTGTAAAACAAAGATGATGCGATGGAGATGACCAGTAGAAATAAGATATTATACAGAGATTTGATTGACACCAATACAGACAGCCAATATTAATGGGATTTTAGAAGACATTTAGTAAAAAGCTGTTATTTTTGACATTATATATAGATTATTTCAGCCTTCTATCGTTATCTTCTGTATGCTCCATATATCTTATTCTTTAGTGTAAGGGTTAGCTAAGTACATATATTTAAGACATTCTAAATCATATTAAGAATTTTTGTACACAATGCTCTAATAGACTTTCAATTGAAGAACAGTATAATTATTTTGAACTATGCGAAACTGGCAATGTTTTCCGAATGTGTCACCGACATACAAATTCTGAGCAGTATGTATATGTAATAGTTTATTATAATCTCCTACTAGCGCCGCGTAGTCCTGCTTAGACAAACATTACGTGAGTAATTAGAGAATGCTTTCATCAATCAATGCACTATTTGAATAGAATTCTGTCATTCATGCCAATTAGTCACGACTTCGGGTGAATGTACAATAACGACATTATTTTTAATACTATAATGAAATTTACATATAATTAAATCATTTTATACGATTCAGGAATTCTTAGTGACTGTTTCTATGTTGTAATAGAATAAATTTACATATCAAGTCCAGTTTTTAACCCCTGACGCAAAAAGAGGGGTGTTATAAGTTTGTCGTCGATGTCTGTCTGTGTGTGTGTCTGTCTGTGACATCGTAGCTCTCAAACGGATGGACCGATTTCGATGTGGTTCTTTTCATTTGAAAACCAATTTCCTTGCGGTGGTTCTTAGCAATGTTTGGTTAATATCGGTCCAGCAGTGTAAGAGTATTAGCTCTTTTCCGAAATGATGTAAGGCAATTCGCAACGCCAAAGCGTATGATTACTCGAGCGTGCTAGTGTAATCGTTAAATGACAATTAGGTACTTTGCATAGGGGGTTGTTTAAATTTTTAATTTATAGAAGTTTTCAGACGTTGTCTGGGGATTAGAACTATAACAATTCGCGAATTATATTTTATATGTATTTAAGCACAGCTATGAGCAATCTATATCATTATAAATGTTAATTTATAAGCATCTTTTCATATAATACTTTTTTAGATTTACGCGAATGTTTGACATTATTAAATAAAACTATCTTTTCGGATTATTTCGCGGATTTATTTTGATTTTTGGTTCCCGACGTTTCGAATGCTTTACAGCATCCATGGTCACGTGAGAGACTGAGGTGTTACATGTCTTGAAGGTATAGTTGTTACAGACAGCCTACCCACAATTAACAAAATGAAAATTGCACCACTTGCGCCACTAGCGAGTAAGGAAGGTTCTATCGCTGTCATTAAAAAAAGTATTTGTTGCTCCAATGAGGGTGGCATGTTCAATTTATGAACAAACTCTCTTTTAAAATAAAATAAAGATTAAAAAAAAACTATTTGTTAGTACGGCGGGGCCATAAATTTAATATAATAATAATATTGTTAGTGCGGCACCAATTCATCAGGATTTTGTTTTAAATTAAATAATAATTAATATATAGCTCTTCTTTTAAAGCAATAACATTTGTTGAACCCTACGTGTTTGTGTTTGCTATAATTAATCAGGATTGGTACAATATTTACAATATTAGTCAAGATCCGCGATGAAAAGCTCGCAAATTGTAAACATTCATATGTCATTTGCCATTTCTGGAGACTTCAGTCTACTAGTGTAGGGTGTTTAGCGCCTCTCGCGGCGAAGAATTCAAACGTGGTCATTGCAGCAACATGAACAAAAATTTAATAATTATCTTTAATTAAATATAAACAGTGATACAGTACTAAAAAGCGTAGCGTTACTCTCTTACTTTTGACATTTGGGTTAATCTATACATATAATAAGATTGTAACTAAGCCGAATCTGTACATTACATATTTTTTTGAAAATCTTATTGCAATACACATTGTTATCGATACAGGGTCCGAATCTATAGTTTTTAGAATTTTTGTCTGTCTGTCTGTCTGTTACCGCATCACGAGAAAACCACTGAACAGATTTTGATGAAATTTGGTATGATGATAGCTGGTTATCCGGGTCAACATTGAGGATACTTTTAACTGCGGGAAAATATCTCATTTGTGAGAAAAAATACAAAAACTGCATTGTAAGAGTATACTAATATGTAAAACCTAAGAATTTGGTTTTTGGTCATCTGAACGCGGGCGGAGCCGCGCTCCATGCTAGTTTATTAATAATACTATAAACTATCTACTGTAACTATACGGTACCGCGTTACAGTAATCATTTTTAAACTATACGTCTATTTGCATTTATTTTCTTTGTAGTTTGTACTACGCCGTTGTAAATCTTCATTTTAAAGTGTTGATTTGTTTAATTTATGTAAATCACGAATAAATTTAGAATCAGCATTAATAGTGTGTTTTGGCAAAAGTGTGATAGAAAAATTGAAAAAAAAAACTTGCTTGAATATGTACTGAGACTTCCAGATAACCTTTAATCAAATATTATCAGAGCTAAAGTCAATCTTTTTAATCGGCAATATTTCACACGCTTGAACGACGTAAGAGCATTATTAGATATTAGCGGCTCACCCTCACTTCGCTCGGCTTCGTTTCTAGAAAAACAAAAACAAATCAATCTGTTAGCAATATTATGAATTGTTATCACTATTATTTAGAGTCAAATGAAATACTTATTTCCTGCCTAACTTGTAGATGGCAGCACCAAAAACTGTATTTATTAGGAATTATGAATATAAAGTCAAAACATATACCCTTTAGTTTAAATATGTGGAAGTGGAAAAATTGTAAAGGAGTGCGTTGAAGTAATGAATAAAGTTAAAGGTGTCAGTCATAATGTAAGTTCTTATAATACAAATTGTGTTAAATAAATGATATAAAATATTATATATATATATATTTAGAGATTTATAAATAGGTAGGTATGATGAGTTTGTTGTGGGTTGTATTATAACGTGTTTTCCCGTGGGAATGAGATAATCTTCCGCGGTAAAAAGTAGCCTATATCTCCATATAAGTCAACCAAAATTAAAAATCACGGCAATTCGTCACTCTGTTTTGATGTGAAAGAAGGACAAACAAACAAACACACTTTCACATTTATAATATTAGTATGGATATGGACTAGTAGTTCATTCATAGAACAGGTAGTTAATTTTATTTTATTTACTGGAACCACTGGGTGACAATATATCGGAGATGACAACAGGTGACACCGTAAACTATTTATAACCGAATCACTGCAATATAGAACAAATTTTATTATTTTATTTTTATGATGTTGAAATATTTATTTTTAGAAGGATCAATATTTGATATTTTAAATTATTATTTATTACCTAATTATACTAGCAATGGTAACTGATAGCCTAGTAAACGCGCTTGCTTGGTAAACCAAATGAAACGGATTCGATACCCGACACTGAAATTTCATGTGAAAATTATTTTTAACAAGATTACCACTTACCTCATGGTGATGAAAAACATGGTAAGGAAACCTGCATGTCCGAGAGATTCTACCAAGTTTTTGAAAGATATATGAAATCTGTCACTTAGCCAGCGTGGTGGACTATTATCTGATGATACCCGTGATGAACAGACAAAACACATATTTTTAAACAACTAGCCAACAATATCTGCTAAAATTAAAAAAGTAAATAATACTTGTATGGTATTATGAACTGTTTGGTAGAACTATGAAAGTCTTACATTGCTCTACATTATTTTCACTTACGCACAACTGTTTAGTAGGCAGCGCACGAAAATAATGATGTTCTAAGCGGTATTTTTTCCGACTTGCTAAACAAAAATCGTGATAGTACGGTTAAAAGACACAATACATGTATATGTCTCGGAGATAATGTAGTGAATCAGATCATTAGATTTAGAGGTGATATTTGTCTATAATTTGTGGCAAATCTAACTCAGAACTAGAAGGTACCATGCTACATGGACATTAGCTTTTTGAAAAGGGTAAATCTTGGACAGCATTCAAAGCGAATGAATAGTGTCGAGGCTTCCAGAAGAGGTTATTATATAATTGAATTATTCACATTATTATAATTGAATTATTTTATTATTTTAATATAATATTCGAGGAAGATATACTACAAGCCCCCATAAAATGTGCCAAAAAATCAATATTACCATAAGTTAAAGGTTTGTTAGTTAACGTACATACAATAACTATTATTATTTTTAATAGAAGCTGACACACGCAGAAAGCTGATTACATACATATATGCCACTGTGAAAACTACAGACTTATCAATTTCCTCTTCTAGGAACATGTGTGAAGAGAGAAAATATAAAATAAAAAATAGGATATGCATAAAGAAAACACTAGCGAATTAGTCCCCTATTTAAAGTACAAGTACTTACATCAATTATAATTTTTATTAGTCGAATATAACGTCAAACACATGAGCTATATTTTAGACTGAATGAAATATTTTCCCGCAGGAAGAAGTATATATTGACCCAGATAACCAGCTATCACCATACCAAATTTCATCAAAATCTCTCCAGTGGTTTTTCCGTGATGCGGTAACAGACAGACAGACAGACAAAATTTTTAAAAACTATAGATTCGACCTCTGTATCAACAATAATGTCTATTACAATAAGATTTTCCAAAAATATTTAAAGTACAGATTCGGCTTAGTTACAATTTTATTATGTGTATAGATGTAAAATGCTGCAGTATTTATATATTAGTTATTATTATACTATTCTGCTCTTTTCATTGTTATTAACAACAACACATCTTACCTCGTTGTTCAAAATAATGAATGGATAAATGCACGTGCGTATATCTTATATACCTATGTATATAAGACATATCGTAAGCACAATTTAATATAAAAAATACATTGTTTGTATTTCCGCATTCAATCATTATTTGAATTGCATAAATTTTGTCATTATTATAGGACATGTAACCGCCACATAACACAGAACATCTTTATAACTATAGTCTATACCCATATACATATGGGCAAAGACATGCTCATTTGAAATAAGAATACGGGCCTAGACGCGCGTTCCCGCGCAATTTCGAAACAGATTATATCAGCCATTTTTTTTAAGCTGTGATTTTAATTGTTTTAAATAAAAAAGCCGCGATAAAAATTAAAAATGTTACAATATACAGTGAAAAAGTATTGCTCTGAGGGCAGCAAGGTTCATCAAGTATTGGTGGCAGTTTTGAGTAAGTACGATTTATTTAATTTTTTATACTTATTTAATTTTTATAATTAAAATTAGATTAAATATCTTATTATATTTTTTTAATATTAACATTATAACATTTTTTTAATATCAAATACGATTTAAATATTCTCGCAATAAAAGCCGTTAATTATTACAAAAATGTAATTTAACATAGTAATTCTCTTTAAATAATAATATATATAAACAAAATTCTGATTCAGCACAAATATTATAATAAAATTATTTTTATTTTTTTCAAAGCAAAAAGTTAAATAATATAAAAGAAAATGTTATAATGTCTTAACTTTCATAAAATATATATTTTATAATAAGCATAAATCCTCCTTTTAAAATATCTATTTTATTTTTGCTCATAAAATGATGCATTTTACTTGATAGCTGGTAAGCGGCGTAACCCAGCTATTAGGTCTTCATTAAGGAGCTTCGAGCTTTAGCGTTGATTCAAATATAAGTGGTTCTGGAAATAAGATTTCTTGCTACGAGTATATGTAATAATTTAAATTGTTTGTTTTCATTTTATCATATTGTTATATTAATATTTAATTACTAAAATTTAATACTTACAGCATAAGGATCATTTTCAGATGACTAGCCTCTAACTAAATAAAAAGTTTAATTTATTTACTTAATATGTTTTTTTTAAATACAGTTTTTTTAATGTATATTTTTAGCTGCACATTTAAGCACTTCAACTTTACTACACTTTTTTAAGCTTAAATGCTATTGTAAATATCATCGCCAATACGAAATTAATATTGAACAAGACAAAGCACTTAAATCTATACTTATTATAAAAATAAGTCCCCCGGCCGCGTCTTTCTGTCCTCCTGTCTGTCCTCCTGTCTGTCTGTACGCGATAAACTCGAAAACTACTGAACGGATTTTTATACGGTTTTCAACAATAGAAAGAGTAATTCTTGAGGAAGGTTTAGGTATATAATTTATTATGCTTTTATGTAAATTAGCTGAAATACGGCGACAAATGTTGAAGAGGTCGCAAAAAATCTCGCCAAATGGGAACTTTCCACGCGAACGCCGCGTAAACTAGCAAAGATACAGTTAAGTAATGTACTAGAGAATTCAAAATCTATAAAAATGCTACAAAAAAGTCCGCGATAGCATATCTCTATCTCTTACGGTTGACTTACAATAACCACTTTTATGTTAACATTTTTAATTAAAAACATTACGTTATTTTCAAAGTTATTTTCTTTAGTTCGGTATTAATCCTTATCCAAATGAATATTTTAGTTAGCTTAGTCATTTAATGCAGATTAAAATTGCTCTTTACACTAAATCAATCAGATGAATAGTTTTTGAGATATCGTTGTTAGAAGTAATTAGTAGCGAAACATTTTTAATGCTTGGCGAGCATTGAGATGCCTACGGCGAGTCCATCCCCTCTGCCCCGCATCGCTCGACCGCCTGCTCAAGCTATATAAACCGGGCGATGTAGCGCGCGATCCTAGGATACTTTTTACCGCGGGAAAATATCTTATTTCTGAGGAAAAATACAAAAACTGCAATGTAAGAGTATACTAATATGTAACACCTAAGAATTTAGTTTTTGGTCATCTGAACGCGGGCGGAGCCGCGGGCAATGCTAGTTAAATAAATAATCGTTAAAATTCGGTTCAGGCACAACGTAGAGTCACTATGTTTTTTAAGTAATATACTCAGACTATAAGAATTAGATAGGAGTGTCGGAGTATTAGGAATGGGGTCAAATGAGGCTGCTAATATGTGCGTTCCAAAATATTTTGAATTAAATACTTTAACTGACTTAAATTTGACAAATTTACTAAAAAAAATTCAAAAAGTCTAAATAGTTCATATTAATCCATACTAATAACATTATACATGTGAAAGATTGTGAGGACGGATGGATGAATGTTTGTTACTCTTTCACGTCAGAACGGCTGAACTGATCTGGATGAAATTTAGCACAGAGATAGATTATAGTCTGGAATAGCAGATAGGTTACTTTTTATCACGGAAAAATGTACGGTTCCCGTAGAAAAAAATTGTTTTTGTCTAGTTAGTTATAAAGATATAACAAAAAAAATTTACGAAAAAAATATTAGAAGTTATTATACTAAAATATTATTGAGCCTTTAGTATTTTAAAACACATACACATTCAAATATTTATTGCTGTCATAAATAAATAAGTTTGATAAATAATTACCTGTGTAGATAAATTAAAACTATCACATATTATCTCACTCGAAAGGAAAAGAGGCGATAGTAATTATTTGGTCTTTTATATAATACCGACAATTAATAAATAAATTATTAACAAATCTTGCGCCGTCAAGAGAAGCAAATAATAAATAAGTGAGGTAGGTACGTCACATATAAATAGAAAAAAATATTTTTTCCAGAAAAAATTATACTTAAACACTTTTTTCCTAATTCTTTCAAGAAAAAAGAAGTCTCTATTATCATAGTATATATATCATGTTATCACATCAAATTCGTATAAATCGTATCGGAGATGATACATCATACAAGCGTACAATTTCCAACTAATACTATTTACTAACTAATACTTCAAAAGAACATAAAAATCATTTTTTATATACCTATTTATAAAGAAATGCCTATACCTATATATTTATCTATACATATATAATAAAATTGTAACTAATCCGAATATGTACATTAAATATTTTTTTGGAAAATCTTTTTGAAATAGACATTATGATCGATACAGAGGCCGAATCTATAGTTTTTAGAATTTTTGTCTGAATGTCTGAATGTCTGTTACCGCATCACGGGTAAACCATTGGAGGTATTTTCATGAAATTTGGTATGATGATAGCTAGTTATCCGGGTCAACATATAGAATATTTTTTTTTGCAGGATAATATCTTATCTCTAAGAAATCTATACTAAACGTTATAACGTAAGTAGGGACGAACCCGAGCGAAGCGAGGGTGGCTCGCTAGTTGTTTACTTTTTTATAATTACACGATTTGATGATGTTAATCTGCAAAGAAGTAGAACAATCTAAATCATATCTGCTTTTAAAAAAATATATGCATTAGGTCCTTATAAAATAATTTTATATTTTAAGGTAGGTTGATTCCGCAATACAAATTTTCATTGCAATGTTCACCCCTTTAAGGGATTATTTCCAGGATAAAAAGTATCCTGTGTCCTTCCCAGGGTCTCAAACTATTTTCTTACCAAATTTCATCTAAATCAGTTCAGTAGATCCAGAGATTACCCCCTACAACGTCACAAACTCACAATTCACAAACTTTACCTCTTTATAATATTAGTACCTATAGATTAATTAGTCATTATTAGATCTTACCTTCAATAGAAAAGACAGCCTTAATTAATTGTAAATTAATTCGAATATGCTGCAATTGAAAATTTTGATTTTATTATTTTTCCGTATTGTTTTTTACATGATTCTTGAAAATAAAATTCTCTAAAACAAAACATACATATAATTAACATAAGTGTTCATAGAATAGAGTTAAACGCATAACTGTAGAATGTATGTCAATCCGGTTTGTAAAAAGTCTCTAAATAAGAACCTCAGCTACCGACTGAGGTGAAGTTTCTATAAATAAAATTAAAGTGTCCGCCTGTTAATTTACAATAATGACCATATGTAGAGCTGCTTACCGCCGGATCCCAACAACCTCTGGTTTTCCTTACTAGAGATAAAAACTTAATATAAGCTCCATACAAATTATGTCATATTCCTTATCGCTCCAAAACCTAAAACCAGAGATAGTTATTGGGAACAGCTATAAGTCATGAACATAATTCCAAGCCCGCAAATTTTGTAGATTTTTAACACGCTTTTATTAACTTCACTTGTACATAAATGTAATAAAAAACTTTGAAAGCTCAAGTCATTTCAGGTTTCATATACTAGCAATACGTAACTATTGTAAAAATATAATTATGTTTGAAAACATACTGCAATTAATTAATTAATTATTTAAAAAAAAAATTAAAACGGGGAATAAAAATTAAACATTGGCATTTGCTCTCTGTTGGATTGACGTCACAAGCTATGGGTCCAACCGATTTTAGATAATACTTTGTTCTAGAGAATATTTTTATAATTTCACCGATTTTACAGTCATGGCGTAACCGATCTTGTCAGTTTGAACTTTGTTGTAGTGAGGTAGGTCCCGAGGTAATAGAATTTACTTTGATCTCAAACATACCCTTTTCGGAAAAAAGAACTAAATAAAACTATCTTTTCGGATTTTTTCGTGGATTTATTTTGATTTTTGGTTCCCGACGCGCGGCTATGGTATGACTTGAATAATTCATATTTTATTTTCTTTATGTTTAATTAAAATATAATAATAGCAACACTAAATACGATTAGTAAATAATATATAAGAAAGATAAGAAAAGTAAAGTTTTCTTAAAAAATTGTAATAATTATAATAATAACAGATATAATTAAATAAATAATATTCCATATATATTCAACTAGCACAACCCGCGGCTTCGCTCGCGTTAAAACTGCAAAAAATACTCTAAACGTACCTTACGTTTCATACAAACCTTCATCCTCTATTTTACCCTCTAAGGGGTTGAATTTTAGAAAACGCTGAAAGCCGTACCTCTTCATTTTTGCCGGAGGTACACACTTCAAATTCGAATTCAAAATATTTTATTCAGCATTAAATTATTACAATTTTTTACTGAAAAAGGGCTGAATACATACATACATACATACAGATAGCCTATATCCTGAAGTGACATAAACTATTGCTTAGCATCTAGGGACTCGAATCGAGAGTAAATAACTAGTTTGTATATGTATAAGACATTAAGCTCGTTGACATAGTGTTCTCTAAAACGTAAAATATGTAAATAAGTAATTAATTGAGACATTTATTATATTAAAATATTCTTATTATGTATTCTTGCGTACCTACGTTATACTGTAATGCTATTTATTAGGCCACAACAGCTGTGCAATTGTTTTGTTTAC